ATTGTACACTGCGGTCATTCTATAACAATCGATCTGTCGTTTATTTTCACAGTCTTACTATTCTGCAGATATTCTTCAATTGTTATAGGTGCCACGGATTTTAACATAACTACAACTTGACCCGTGTTAAACCCAAACCATGCGTACATGACAACCATCACCCTACACACGGTTACTCAACGAATACCGTACTCTACAGTAGACATTTTTCGCTCTCCACCAAAAATAGAATGGTTTTATTTCATATTAGTTGTGTCAGTGTCGTATTTGATTTCACATGTTTGGTTCGATCTTGTTTATGGTGGACATTATTACTACGCGTATATATTATTCCCAATTTTATATGGCCGTGTGATCCACCGTATTTTTTCAACGGTCGTTCTATAAATTTCTGATTGTATTTAGTCTTATTTTAACATCATAAAAAACAAAAATGATACACTTGTACATGAAACAGTAGGTAATGAACTGTAAATGCGAGCGGTTGCGCTGTCAGGCGAGCGAGTGAGCGAGCGATTGCGCGAGCGGATACTTCCGGATTTGCGCGGTCGAAAAAAAAGCGGAAATTGCGCGGTCGAATTGAACAAAGCGAGCGAAAAAAAAGCGATCGAAATCCGGAAGCGGGCGGGAGGTTCGGCGAAATGAGTACTGTATTTCAAAAAAAGAACTACCGTTTCTGCTTTAATATATATTTGTATAGACTTGCTGACTGTTATGATTCTGAAAAAAAAATCTTTAAAAATAAATGTAAATCAGCGGTGAACATGCTGCCCTGAAGGTAGAAAGCGTAAAATACCTATTTTGCTGTCACAGCTATTTCGCATTCATCCCTTGTTTTACGCAACTAACAATTATAGTTAAATAATTGTTAAAGACATCATGACAGACTGCAAGAAATTCAACTGTTAATACAACCACAGTTAACGAATATAAAATAGTTTTTTGTTATTTTTTGTTTAGAAAAAGACCCTCTTGGCGTGTGCCAGGATATGACCTCAACTTCTTTATTGTGTCAAAAGTGTGGGTGGGCGTTTGCCCGAATAAGTATGGTATCTATAGACAAAGAGACTTGTAGACTTGCCGGAATAAACGTACCTCTGAAATAATATTTAAACCACACTTTGCAAGCCAACTTATTATTTTTTTTTACAGGTGATATGTGGTACAAAGGGATGATATTCATTGGCCGATCTGTTATACGATTCATTATGATAATTTTGATGATAAGTCTGCTCCTTCTTGCTCTCTTTGTTAGATTGTAAGTTTATGTGCTTTATATATTTACTCCATAAGGCCATGAAAAAAATCTAAATCATTTTGAATGCTAGCATTTTTATTTTTTTTAACGCAACTTGACACAAGACAGACATTTCTTTACTGGATTACACTGAACTTGTCATTCACGATGACTCAGAAAGATGTATTTTTAGCTCCGCTGTCGACTTTGTCGAGCGGAGCTTATCATATGAGTGATTGTCCGTCGTCGTCGTCCGTCGTCGTCCGTCGTCGTCCGTCGTCGTCCGTGTCAATGTTTTACTTTTTCGACTTCTTCTTGAAAACTACAAGCCTGAATGCTTTGATACTTGGTGTATATGTACCTTGGGTAGACCTCTCTTAGGTTTGTTCATTTCATGTTGATATCTTCAATTCTCTAATTTTGGTGAATATTTTTGTCATTTTTGGTAAAAAGTGATATTTTCGACTTCTTGTTAAAAACCGCAAGGGCAAATGCTTTGATATTACATATATAGGTACTACATGTGGACCTCTCTCAGATTTGTTCATTTTGTAATGATATCTTTAATTCTCTAATTTTGGTGAATATTTTTGTCATTTTTGGTAAAAAGTGATATTTTCGACTTCTTGTTGAAAACCGCAAGTC